CTAAATTATATATATTTGATTTTAGACTTTTTCTGACCCCCTATCCAATGTTGTCATAAATTTATATACTGGCGTATAAGTATTTATGCCTTTCATTGTCTAGCGTGTGTGTGAGATAGGGAGCCTATTTAAAGACAATTTTAATTACTCTTAATTCAAATAAAGTTAATTAAGCTAATTAATGTTCTTACCTTATAATTTCTCATTTGATGTGGGGTTATTCGCCACTAATTGTGACTTCTATATATACCTTCATTGTTTTTATGATTATGAAGTTACAATTGCCCCACTAATAATAAAATTATAATCAAGAAAACCAGTATATTAACAATATGAATATTTTATTGGCATATTTGAATATAAATAAAAGATATAGTCTAATACTTGCTACCGCTAAGTATCAAACTTATACCTTACAATTGACATATTATAATTATGTGACTTGTTACTTATAAATTATGCTAAGCTTAAGACTATATAATTTTCTTGGACATTTAATTAAAAGTTATAAGGGATACAATCAAATACTTGCTACCGCTAAGTATCAGACTGATCTTGAACATCATTATTGTGTAACTTGCTACCGCTAAGTTACTTGAATCTCAAACTTATATAAATTGTTATATGTTATCTTATATATTTTAAAAAAGCATTAGACTTCCATCTACCCAATCTTTGTATTTCTGTGTCACTGTAATTTTTTATTGTTACAAAAAATGTAGCTCCACCTATCCTGAAGCTATGCGCTTTAATTGTTTCTGTATCAGCTCCACAACTTCTCAAGATTGATTTTAATATATTATTAAAGAACTGTGAAGTTATTGGAGCATTTTGTCTCAAGAATAATGAGCCCTCTTGAAAACCACGTACCTCTAAATATTCCCTGTAAGCTTGAACTGGGCAAAAGAGAGGATTGATTTCTTTTTTAATATGAATTGTTTCAGGCTGTATGCTGTGTTTAAAAGATCTAAATCTAATAGTTATTTCACTATTACCATTTATTTGAACATCGCTAAGCTGTAGATTGTGTTGAGAATTTGTTATTTCCCCTATACGTAGCAATCCATAAAAAGCAAAGAGGTACATGGTCTTCATCAGTATGCAATCATATGAAGAATGTAATGCTATGGGTAAATGCATAATCATTTGATGTAATAAATTTTGAGTAATTGGTTGTCTTTTGTCTACACTTGGTCTCGTTTTTTGCATGCCTAATAACATTTGTTTAATAATATATGAGTTGGTTGGATCTGAGAAATTATTTATTTTGTGAAAATAAGCTATTGCTGATATAATAGTTTGAATTGTTGATGTTGCATAATTTTGTTGCACTAAATATGAAATAAATAAGCTGAGATTTTGCGTAGACAAAGGCAATATTTTTATGTTATAAATTTGACCAAATTGTTCTAACTTTTTCCACGATCTTTTATAAACATCATGTGTACTTTCTGTTTGTGCATTGTTTATCAGATTATATCTTATAGATTCCAATTCTTCGGTAGAAGATGTTTTGGAACTATTTTTTGGTTCACTTCTGATGATGGATGTGCTTCTCTGAAAACCTGTAATTTACCTCGAGATAAAGCATCCGCACCTACATTCTTTAACCCTGGTATGTGTTCTGCTTTTATTAAAATATTATGTTTTAAACAACACAATACTAATGGCCTGAACAGTTTCATAATTGTGGGTTCTTTAGATGTGCCTTTATTTATGATTTGTTTGACAGCTTCATTATCTGTATAAACTACAATAGCTTTATTTGACAACTCATGTTTCCAAAGTAATATTCCCAAAACTATTGGAAATATTTCTAGTATTGTTATATGATATGTGGTCCAAGAATCTGGCCATACTCCACATATCCATTCATTGCCAAATATTATTCCATATCCTACAGTAGTTGATGAATCTGTGTATAATGTTTTATTTGTTCTTATTTGCCATTCATTATCTAGAAAAAAACTTTTTCCATTAAAATCTTTCAAAAATGTTTTCCATATTTGTAAATCAGATTTTGCAGATTCATTGATATATACATGCCAATGTAGTTCTTTTGTTTTCATGGAGAGAGATATTAGCCTTCTCAAAAAAGTTCTACCGTATGGAATGATTATGGCACAATAATTCAGTACACCTATGATTTGTAATATTTCACGTTTTGTCATTTTCTTTTTATTATACATTTCATCAATTAAGTGTTTAGCTTTGTCTAATTTCTCTTTTGGCAATCTTGCTTCCATATGTACAGTATCTAATTCTATACCTGCAAAGGTTATGACTTGCAGGGGACCTTCTGTTTTCTCTGGTGACATAGGAACTCCTATTTGTTCACACATATTGAGGAATTTCTCAAGAGACTTTTTACACTGTTCTTCAGTGTTTTCAATTATTATAAAATCATCTAATATGTGAACCATGTGTGTTATGTTCAATTTATTTTCTCCTATCCATTGCATTGCTGTGCTTAGTAATTCAAAATATTTACAAGAGACTGACAATCCCATAGGTAAAGTTTTATCATAATAGTAATTCTCATTGACTTTAAAACCTAACATGAAGTAATTTGAAGGATGCATTGGTAAAATTCTAAAAGCTGACTTAACGTCTGTTTTTGCAAGATATGCATTTTTTCCTAATGATTTTATTTTCTTAATCGTTTCATCTACAGTACCATATTGAACTGTTGCATCTTCATGATTTATACCTTCATTTACAGATTTACCTTTTGGTGCTGATAGATTATGAATCATTCGTTGTTCTGGTGAGTTTTTCTTAGGTATTGTAAAAATTGGAGATATTACCATTCCATCAATTGGACATTTTTTAAAAGGTCCCTCTACTCTCCCTAAATTGATTTCCTTTTGAACTTTATTTAACACTGTATCTAAATGCTTGATATTTTGATTAGTATCTTTCCTATTCAATTCTGATCCATGAAAGGGAATTTTAAATCCTTCAGAAAAACCTAACTTGATTTCTTCTACTAATTTTTCATCATAACCTGATAACCATTCTAATAATGTTTGTAATTTGACAGGAGTTGGAAGTTTTGAAATGTTAGTTTTTTCGCTTTCGACTGTATTGGAATTTTCCTTTTCCTTTTCCTCGAAAAGGATTAGCCTTGGCTTCATTGCAATTTATTGCTCTATGGACCTCACCTTCCCCACAAGCTGGACAATAATGATGGCCCACACATGAATCTCCCTTTTCACATTTTTTCCCCTTATGGAACTTCCAACAAAACCCATTGGGTATGAATGGTTCTATTGTGTTATCAGAACGATCTGAACGTTTTAAATTATCTTGGTCTGATTTATCCACATTAACTTTGTAATAAGGTGTTGCTTTCAACCATTTTGCCCCATCAATCACATCCCAAGGTGCAAGGGTATTAGCTCTAGCTTGTCTGAATGATCTGTCATATTGCCCCCAATTCATACCTCTATTCTTCATTTCTAGAATGTTTGCCATATAAGACATCAATGCTGGAGCAGTTTGAGGATATTTCAAGATGTATATGCTTATATATGTATACATCGCCTTGGACCAATCAGGATATGACAGAAACTTTTTCCCCTTTTTGGTAGGAATGATGATTTGATTTCCTTGTTTTATAGTTACCTCAAAACCTTCATTTTCATTTTCAAGATCATCTTGGATTAGCTTATGCAATTCTACAAATTCATTGGACCATATTTTATCTCGAAGTGAAGAGTTAATAATGCTACCTATCATGTCGGCATTTGGAACTGCATTTAGGCAGAACATACCTGGGTTTTGTGGTGGTGGGATGATATTTGGTGGAAAATTTTGACCTCCAATCTGTCCTATATTAGGAATTGCTTGTGGAACATTGGATATATTAGGCCAGTTATTTGATGGATTCAAATGTTGTTGATTTGTCATATTAGTGCTTGCTGTACTTGTGCTTTGGGTAGCTGTTTGTGTGGTATTTATTGGTGGAGCTCCTTGAGACGCTGAAGGTGAAGTTGATGATATCGGATTATTGAAGCTCAAATTGGGAAACATGGTTGGAGTGAAATTAGTCATTTGAGGTGGGCCCATTGTCCAGTTTTGATAAGGAGAATACCAATTTGGCATTTGCCAATTTTGCATTGGCTGATAAACCTGTCCCCATTGTGGTTGTATTTGAAAGGTTGGAGTAGCTTGAGGTATTATATTTGCTGTAGTTTTAGGAGTGGTATCAATTCTGGGGGGTGACTCTTTTGTCTTTCTTTGATCATCTGTTGCTCGCTTTGAGTAACTATGCTCTCCTGTAGTATCTTTATCTGCCATCAGGCCTAATAAAGAAACAACTATTGCTAATGAGATTGCTCCCGAGCTATGGTAGTGAAATTGACTTATTTAAATCAATTTCACTGGCCCATGCCAAACCTTGTTAAAATAGACTATTCTATTCCAACGCTATATAGTTGTCTCTTGCAATTAAAGTACTTCAAAAGTAAAAGAAATGAGTAATTATATTATCTAGTTAAAAAGAAAAAAAAATATATAAATCGAATTATTAAAAATCGTACTTTAATTACATGCCTGTGACACTCTTTACTTTAGTTTTAACATTTAAGTTATCAACTAAAGTTAAATAGTATTGTTAATACTGTTGCTATATTATTAATACTGTTAATAATGCTAAAGCTATGCTAAAGTTATGCTAATATATTTGAATAACAAATAATTCAAAGAAATTCATTATTTAATGTTTCCTCAACTGCTTTTAAGATACTTTGAACTATTTGTATTCAATATTAAAAACAATTAGATACTTACTTAACTATCTAATATACCCAATGCATGGATAAATGCGTATTTAATTGCTTTCTTATGCTTTGATAGGCCTTGATAATTTAAATGAGTACCATCGCTCTTTAAGAGTCCACTTGTAACTACATCCTCCAATCCTCTTGATCGCCAAAATATAAAGTTATGGAAATTTTGCTGTTGATGAAGTTCTTTGTTGACGCCATTTATGATTGTATTAGTACGTTCAATATCACTTTTGTGTTTCAAATGCTTCCAATGATATGATCTATTCGGAATTTTCCCAACTAAAATTACATTTTTCTCAGAAAGTTTCTTTTGAATGATGGAAATGGCCTTTAAGTAGTTCTCTGTTATAGTTGAAATGTGAAAATTGATTGATTTGGAGTAATTTTTTCCAGCGTCAGAACAATCATTACCCGCGGTTTGCAAGAACACAATGTTGGGTCTAAGGGTTTTAAAATTCACTGTTGAATAATCTAAGTCATCAATGTGACCTCCGGGCTTAAAGTGCCATGTTATTTTTGTTTTAGATTTAAATTTCCATTTGGGATTAGCATTAAAAACATTTCCAACTAAACTGCTACCTACTATAGCTAACTTCATTTCGTTATCCATACTCTGAAAGAGATTTTTTATTCAATAGATTTATCTAAGTATCAAAGAGAAAATCTAAATATATAAGCAGAAGTGCCAAAGGGAAAGGACTAAAAGTTGTAATGGAACTTAGCAAGAAAAGCAAACTCTAAGTGCATACCACTTATTATAAACACTTTAAAGAGTGTCAGCAAGAAAGGAGACTCTAATTGTAAAGTTGTCATAAGAAATTAGAACCTTAATAACTCCTATCACAATCTAATTTGAAAAGAACAAGATCGTTTTACTAAATTAGGATCAGAGGATGTGTACTAGGACTATGCTAGCTTATTGTTTTCATAGTTGTCTGTTACATCTATCTACATCTATGTTTTGACTATGCATTATTTCAACATCTAATGGACTTTTAGTATATTCTATGATTATTTAATTATCATTATTATGCTTTAATTGTACTTACTCTATGATGATTTGACTTAACTTGAAATATGGATTGTATGGCTTGAAGTATGGCTTGCTACGTCTTGCTTGTTATTGTAGATGTTGAAAAGTGCGCCAAATTATGATTCCCGCCGTTGACGTCATGTATAGGCTTTAGTTTCGTATTCACTTTATTTTCGTATTTTCTCAGAGTATTCTTTTGGCCTACCTAAATAAGTCTTAAATCATTCTGAAAAATAGATCTAAATTATATATATTTGATTTTAGACTTTTTCTGACCCCCTATCCAATGTTGTCATAAATTTATATACTGGCGTATAAGTATTTTTCGTTCGTGGGATATTTTTTTCACCATATAACCGAACGGGAAGTTTTTGAATAGGACTACATGATCTGAATGGATGAGAGGATTCAATGGGCTGGGATTTGAGAAATTATGATTTGAACTTTGCCAATTTTACATGTATTCCAATGGGTGAAAAAGTAAGTTGCTTTCTACCAAAGAATTCACTTTACGATATAGGGTCTCATTGTCTGTCTTTGATCCATGTAGTTCCTTAGTTAGGATTGACAATTTATTTTCATAGTTCAGTATTTCTTTCTTCAGATCCTGTACTTTCATAGCACTGGTTGCATTTGTAATCTTGATCTCATCCAGGCGTTGCTTATCAGATATTTTAAGCCTGTTTTCAAGATCCAATATAGCAGCATTTTTCCTATCTATTTCCTGTGCATATTTCATATCCATTGCTTCAACCTTTGTTTCTGATTGCGTTATTTTATGTCTGAGTTTTGAGTTTTGTCTCGAGAGGTCGGTCTCTTTAGTGCTTTTTATTCCAGATTAAGAAATGGTCTCAGTAGGCTTAGAGGAAGTGTTATGTACAGCAGTAGATGGAGTGGAGATTGGCGTTGATGATGTATATTGAGATATATGTAGGTCTCCAGTAGCAGGCTGGGATGGGATTGTCCCCACAGTTTTCCCATTGATTTGTGAGTCATTTTGTAAGTCCTGTAAACAGTGACACATTAGTGAATATTTGATTACAGTGACATCTATAAATAATTTTGTTTGAATTTACCCTTTGCATTCGTTCGACTTCACTTCTCAATAGAGAGAGCTCCGTCTAGTTTAACTAGACTCTGCACGCAGGGTAATTTGAATTTGGTTTAATTTTTTAGTTTAGCTACAAGCCCTTGTGAGCCCCCACTACAACAAGTGTGGTGGGCGTCACACAAACTTGTAGCTAGACTATACTTTTCCGATCTCATCAAAATAACCGGATTCAAACTGATGAGTTTTTATTATACTCACCACTTCTTATTCATTGTAATTGTCAAATATTTGTTTTTGTATTTGTTTTTTTTGTAATTTACAAAGAGATATGATAATCTATGTGAAACCCTATTGAAATATACAATCGTCAATCCTGTCATTACGCAGCCTAAGACTAATCATTACGTTAAGCCTACCTACCCAAGTTACCTTTATTTTGAAAGATGGACTGTTTTCCTATTTTTAGAAATTAAGCTTTCTTCAAAAATGTACTATCAGAGAGGAACTGACTTTTGTATACGTTTTTTGTTGTTGTCGTGCCCACAAAAGAAATATATTTAAAGATAGCTACTAATACCAAGTTATATTTACAAATTCTCCACTGTTCTTTCATACCTAATAATAATCATTTAAACCCTCTAACAATTTGCATAGGAGCGTGACTTCGTTAAAATCGTGTATATGGCAAGTTCTGTTTTGTGATTTTCGCCAAGTAGGTTAGAACTTACAGTTTAACTCATCACAATAAATTCACTTAAAATTGATATTTCACATTGACTTAGGATGAAACAAATCTTAGACACAGGCTAATGTAACAATACTTCAGATTTGCTTGTTACATTAGGTACAGTCAGTTGTTTTGATCCTGTTAATACGCCATTAATAGAGAGGTTAAGCAAATACGGTTTTTCAAAACGTATACGTAAACGCAAAGTACATTGAATCAACATAGGATTGTATCGCTTTAGTCTACTTCAGATACCCGTTCAACTTCAAAGTTGCGTGTTTAGAACGGGAGATTTACATATTTCACGTTGCTATCAACGGGAATCATTATACTCATGTCTGTTGAATACTATCCTTGCAATTTTGATTTCGATGCAGAGTATAATTCTTTCTGAAGAAGATGATGTATGTTACGCATGATTTAACTCCAATAATCTTACGAAACGAGCTCGTTTAAAATATGTATTAGAAAACCAGCTATTGAACTTCATCAATGGCATACTATGTAATCATTACAAGCTATGGTGTAGTCTAAACAAACACTAGAGCTGAACGGCTATTTATGTGTGAACTCTACATGTATTTGTATAGGGGCCATTGATACGTTTAAGTTGCGTTCTGGATTTTATACGGTAGCTTAACCTCTCCAATAAACAATCATCAAAACGTTAACCTGAGCATATTTGAAGTGCTAAGTTTTTATCATTTTCTAATTGTGGATTAGTATCTTTTACGAGACTGAAGTGTTTTGTACATGCACATATCAGTCACTAAACTATTCGTAACAAACATTGACGTAATTATTTAATTTGTTATCATCGTTATATGTCAGATATGATATTTGATTAATATCAAATATTATCTACCAAAATAAGAATAAGAATCGCCGAGTCACATTCGTTGAGTACACTTGGAGCAAAGAAGTCAGGTTTGCAAGAGTTTGAAATTGACGTACAGTAGCAAGCCAACAATGAATTTGATGTACAGGGTGAGTCAAAAAGGTAAACAAATGTTTATATTCAGTCATGCAGCATGGGTTTAAAATCAAATGTGACACAATCAAACCTTCTTCAATGTGTTTCCATTATACCTAGTTTAATTGGTCTATCTCCATAATTCTGGTGTTGTGTTTTGAGGCAAACTTGAACATTGCGGACGAAGTCGTTTCAAAAGTCGTTTCAAAAGTTGTTAGTGTAGACCATCTTCGCACGCTCGGTCTTCACTGCGTTCACCGACGGGAGCCGAGTGAACGAAGATGAGTGTAGACACTAGCCCCACAGATAAAAGTCCGGAGGGGTCATTCATCAAGATATCGCAATCACTGCGACGTCGCAGACACTGCGACCACCTTGCGAGGTCGCAGTGACTGCGACTGCGACCTATTCATTAACAAATCGCAGTCTGCGATGTCCCTGCGACCAGTCGCAGTGATTACCACGTGCACGTACTTGTACACGTGTTTGTTATCCTTTCGAGATCCTCTTGTATCATTTCGTAAACTTTTATAATAGTTAACCTAGGCATGTGATATCGCAAAATAAGGTCCACATCATCGTATATTTGAAGAGGATCTGTACGATCCCTAAATACGCGTTCTCTACGCAGAGCGTTACGGTTGAAATCAACCATCAGTTGCGCCATTTTGAACGAATAAACGCTGCCAGCAGACGATTAAACACGTCATGCAAGACTGACAATATGATATTGATGGAAACTGAGTGGGTACAGCCACGTGGGTTCAAACCACGTGTAACGCACAATCACTTCGACCGGTCGCACGGTGAAGTATTTAAAAATACAAGCCGAAAACTAGCTGTTTTTGATAACATCACAAACATGTTAAACATAATGCATATGTTGTGCAATTTTAATATATCATGGATCGAATATCGAACTATACGTCCTAGAATTTCCATATAATTTCATAAAGAAATTCAATTAATTTAAGACATGTTTCTTGAACTTAAACCACTGCGACTGGGTACCACCAGTCGCTTAAATTTGGACCATTTTAGGGGTATTTCACTGCGACGTCGCAGGAAATTCTACCGATCGCAGTCGCACGAGATTGATGAATAGAACGTAATCGCTAAAAATGGCCATTGCGACATCGCAGGCTTGTGACGTGCTTGCGATAGCTTGATGAATGAGCCCTCGGGGGATTTATGTCTAGTGTGGCGCGTTTCGGTATGTGGATCATGTTTTGTAAATGGCCATGGAATTGCGGCAATTAGAATTAGAGGTAAACCAACAAAACTTTATGTAATGAAAGAACATTAAATAAGGTTTGACTGTACTAAATATGACTTTAAACCCATGTTAAATGACTGAGTTACTAGCATATATTTGTTTGGGTTACACTTTTTTGGCTCACCCTGTAGTTTGACAGAATGTCGACTAGCGAACCACACCGGTACGCCTCTAGAGGGGACTGATATACAATGGAATTAGAATAAAAACTATACACCTAGCTCATAGGTTTCATATTTCAATAACAATAAACGTTGACTTTGAGGTGACAGAACCTGATATTATCATGGCTACAGACGAAAAAGGAATAGAACAAGACATAAAAGATGCGTTAAAGGGGGGCAATGAAACTGAATTGCAAAAACTTCTCACTAATTTATCAAATCAACGTAAGTGTCCAGAGGGCCTCATAGTATGGGCGTTTGGGAACAATATCCAAGTGAGCAAAGAGACCATCCAGATATTAGTGGAATATGGAATGGATGTTAACGCCAGATACGACAGCAAAGAGTTTTTCTCAGATGATGAGAGTAAGACTGCATTAATGTTTGCTGTACAGAGAAATGATGTGGACTGTTGTCGTGCTCTGATGGACCATGGTGCTGACGTCAATGCCAGTGACATGATATATGGGAAGACTACATTGGTGTATGCTGTAGAGCTGAATAATGTGGAATGTTGTCGTGCTCTAATAGACCATGGTGCTGACGTCAATGCCAGTGACATGATATATGGGAAGACTACATTGGTGTATGCTGTAGAGCTGAATAATGTGGAATGTTGTCGTGCTCTAATAGACCATGGTGCTGACGTTAATGCCAGTGACGCATATGGGAAGACTGCATTGGTGTATGCTGTAGAGAATAATAATGTGGAATGTTGTCGTGCTCTGATAGACCATGATGCTGACGTTAATGCCAGTGACCACGATGGGAAGAATGCATTGGTGTATGCTGTAGAGAAGAATAATATGGAATGTTATCGTGCTCTGATATACCATGGTGCTGACGTCAATGCCAGAGACAAAAATGGGAAGAGTGCATTGATGTATGCTGTAGAGAATAAAAATGTGGAATGTTGTCGTGCTCTGATAGACCATGGTGTTGGCGTTAATGCCAGAGACAAAAATGGGCAGAGTGCATTGATGTATGCTGTAGAGAATAAAAATGTGGAATGTTGTCGTGCTCTGATAGACCATGGTGCTGACGTTAATGTCATTGACGGATATAGGAAGACTGCATTGATATATGCTGTAGAGGAGAATAATGTGGAATGTTGTCGTGCTCTGATAGACCATGGTACTGACGTTAATGCCAGTGATATGTTTGGAGAGACTGCATTGATGTTTGCTATAGAGAAGAATAATGTGGAATGTTGTCGTGCTCTGATAGACCATGGTGCTGACGTTAATACCAGTGGCGGACATCGGAAGACTGCATTGATGTATGCTGTAGAGAAGAATAATGTGGAATGTTGTCGTGCTCTGATAGACCATGGTGCTGACGTTAATGCCAGAGACTACTTTTGGAAGACTGCATTGATGTATGCTGTAGAGCTGAATGATGTGCAATGTTGTCGTGCTCTGATAGACCATGGTGCTGACGTTAATGCCAGTGGCGGATATCGGAAGACTGCATTGATGTATGCTGTAGAGAAGAATAATGTGGAATGTTGTCGTGCTCTGATAGACCATGGTGCTGATGTTAATGCCAGTGACG